GGGCGGGGGCGGGGTGGTGAGCACGTGGCTGAATCTGTGAGTGAGGCGGATAGAAGGGCTGGGTGAGTGAGGGCAGGAAGAGAGGAGATGAGGCAACTGCAGTGATGCAGGAGAGGGGATGGTGACCTAACAGTGAGGAGCGAATGAGAGAACCGATCTGAGAGCCGCCAGGCGGTGGCAGTGATCAGAAACAACAACTCCAGGGACACAGAGAGAGAGGAAGGAGTGGTGCAGGCTGACTCGAGTTCCTGGCCTGGGGAACTAGCGGGTGAGGGGGCAGTACAGGTGGTAACAGAGGGCAGTGATGAGGATCCCTCCAGAGGCAGAAATGCAAATAGAAAGTAAAATTCAGGGCTCAACTAAGCAAACAGAAGCCACACTAAACATTTATAACAGGGATTTACCCAGGGCATCGGTCACACTGGTGACGGAAAAGGAGAAACCAAACAGCTGATAGTGAGTCAGCCCAGAGGCCAGGGCAGGAAGCCACCCCCAGGCTGGAGCAGGGAGGTCCCCGCTGGCATGAAGAACCCGCCAGACAGGAGCTGGCACCACGGAGGAGACAGTCACCGGCAGAGGCAGTACCCAGGACGGAGAGGGAGAAAACTGCCTTCAGCTGCCGCGCCCTCCGCCGCTGGCCGACACAGGAGCTGGGAGACAGCCTGCGGGCCAGCTGTCAGGGCAGGAGTAGAGCAGTGAGGGCAAGGAGTGGCTGTGAGCAGGCAGGCCAAGCACTGGCACAAGCCTGGAGAAGAGGATGCAATGAGCACAGACACGGGCACAGCTGCGATCAAGGGAAAAAAAGGCCCTTGGGCAGGACTGGACCAAAGGTCAGACACAGGAGGAGGGTGGCCAGCAGGGAAGCAGGGAAAGGCCGTTACAGAAGCCAGTCACGGCAGCACCCCCAGCCCAGCAGAGGGAAGAGATGCCCTGGGCTGCAACGGCCAAGGGTCTGGTCCAGAGTCGGGACTGTCCCAAGTGGAGACAGAACCCCTGGACTCTCCCAGCCCACATCATCCTACCCGGCCCCTGGCTTCAGACTCCAGGCGTGGTGGGCATGAACTGTACTGTTTAGATCTCCTGCTGTGGGCGGTACTGACAGCCCCAGCGCTGCCCCTCTGGATCCATCACCACATTTGTTTACAGAAGCCATGTTGCCCCCACTGCTTCCAGCCAGCGAGTGAGCAGGGAGAGCGCTAATGCAGCCCGTTCCCACTGAGATGTGTGCACCTTTAACAGGTGATGTTGGCCTGAGGACGCCACACGGGCCTGGCCAAAACTTTCTCAGAACCTCACAGTAGGCTGGGATCTTTCCCACCTACCCAAACCTCCTTCCTTCCCCTGGTCTGGGGGTTCACGGGGCCTTTCCCAGTCCCTCCCCTAGATCCTTCACAGGTCTTTTTCCTCAGAACCTCTGGCACATCTGCTTCTGCCTTGGTCCCTGCTTCTTGGAGAACCCAAGCGAACACACCAAGCTCCCCAGGCACCCCTGGATTGTGGCTTAGCTGGCCAGGCAGGCCGAGCCCAGGGTAGACAGTGCTGAGCAGTGACCACAGAGCAGGTCTGCAGGCCTGGTCTGTTTCTCTCTGGATGTAGCAATCACTCTGTTGGCTTCCAGGGCACTAAGTGAGCCTGACCTGGCACTTGCTCACAAGCAGCCCAGCCCAGTCTCCAGGGCAGGCCCAGCCTCGGTGTGCACCTTGTTCAGGGGTCCACACACATGGAGCCTCCCCCACCAAGGCTTAATTCAGGTCACATTGCAGCTCTAATTCTACAGGTTTTTGACTGAAGCACAATATTTTTAGAAGTACCTGGGATCCTAAAAGAGTCTTTGTGTAATAGTCTCGAGGCATGAAAACTTCCACTATGGTGACTAGACACCAGAAAGCGTCTTCTTGTTCCAAGTATAGGAGGGCCACTGCCACCAATCTACAAGCAAACGGAGAACAAGGTGAGCGCCAGCCTCCTAGCCCAGACCCGGGCAGCACGGCCCGTCTTCACAGAGGCCTCTGCAGTATGCTGCACTCTCTCACGGCCACAGCAACTTCTAGTTCTCCAAGACAGAACACTAAACGAGTGTTCCTTGGCGAGGGTGGCATTTCCTAGTTTGAGAAGCAAAGCTACATCCACCCTCCCCTTCATTTGGTTTTTGTTTAAGGATGATGAAATTGTTTCCCAATGAGCAGCCAGCCTCATTTTTTAAAATGTTTTCATGATAAGATTTTTGCTAATGCAGCTAATTCTTCAAGTTTTTTGTTCAAGAAGTTCCAACTAATCCTTTTATGCACAAAAAAATCCAGGGGTGAATATAAGGGGAAAAGAACACATGATGGTTTAAAAACAACTTTCTTGATACCAGTCTACTTGAAACGGGGCTTCAGACAAATGAATCACTGCGGTGGGGCTTTCTCAAAGAACTGGATCCACAGCACACATGTGGGGTGGGAAAGGGGACCGTATGTATCACCTGTTATGTCACTCACAATGGAAACTTGGGTCTGGCTATTTACATGGTCACCACTGAGAGGTTACTCATCCAGTAACCCCAGGTTTGGCTCTGAGCGGGCATTCAGGGCAGAAGGCTGAAAAGGAAGAGGCAAGAGAAAAGCCCCCCTCTACATATCCAAGAGCCTCTGCTCGTGACATGAAGCTTCTGTGCATCACTTACGGAAAACCCTATAGTCACTTCTCAGAATCTGTTTTTGTTTTCTTCCTTGGATAAAATTATAATGAAATCTCAAATTAAAAGGTTAAACAAAAAAAAGAACTGGGAAGGGGATGCCTTGAGTAGGCATGAATGGGATGGAGAGTAGAAAGGTTACAACAGGTAGAGATGGACAAGGAGAGAAAAACAGGACATGCACAGCACCTGCGGATGCCAGGAGAAAGGGTAGAGAGACTGAAATGAGCAGAGCCTTTGACGACATCACTTTTAGTTAACTGATGTTCCAGATGACAGGCCTGAATCACTGAGGAAAGGCCAGCATTCTTCTGCTGAAGTTCTGGGTTCACAGTTCTGTTCTCATGTACAAAATAATGTGGAGAAAAAAAATCCAGTAAAATGGTTAAAATTTAGAGGTCCTAATGGTGATGGTACGGAGAAAGATTTAATTTTCTGGAAAGTCTCCTTATGTGTGGAACAGCTGATTCCATGACAATGTCAGATAAATGGGGTGTTACTGCACCCCTAACAGGCATGCTCAAGTCCTCGCCAAGATCCCTTAAGTTTCAGAGGTTTTTAGCTTCCAGGAATTTTTAGACTGAGTATACAATGTGAACTGTGCATTTAAGCAAAACAAGGCTGCTTTGTTAGGCAGTAACTTATTTACAGGCTTTTTTTTTTTTTTAAATGGGGGCCATCGAGGAGCAGCCACAGTCCCTTTTACTTTCAGGGCCCAGAGAGGGCACCCTGTCCTGACCACCACAGAGGCAATGACTTCCTGGAAACCGTTGGTTTCAGGTCTTAACCAACTAACATTCCAGTTTAAAAGCTTTTCTTCCTGCAATACTCTCATTTCAGATGCAAATAGACAGCCCTTATCTGGAGGTCAGTATCCAGCACAGATGAGGATTAAAAAGGCCCAAGAGCTGCCAGAATAAACGTCAGCAGTCAAAACTCAATGCATGCACTTGACTTAAGGAGAACTGCTCGAGGTGGCATACGGAGCTTCTTCATTCTTTGGCCATATTTCTAGCAAAAGCTTGGTTACCTACTCTGATTACACAGAGGAATATAAAAGGACTCTAATGACAGCAGCAGAAGTGCGCCAGCGAGGTAAGAGACAGACGAGAGGTAAAAAGCAGCCACAAGCACTCAAAGTCCAGTGATGGGGAGCAGCTCCATGGAGAACAGACCTCAGTACCTCCCATGGCCTCATCCCAGGGCAGCTCAGCTCAGAATGAGGAGCCTGGATCATTTAGAGAAGGGGAGAGGCTTTTCAGTGTCCTCTGCCTATGGAAGCAGGGAAGTAGGCCAGACCTGCAGAAGGCTCTCATCCAAAAAAAAAACAAGTTTGGGCTCTTCAAGGGCTAGGTTTAACCAGCTGAAAAATTGTTTGGGGCAACCTCTTGATTGACAAAGATCCTGCATAAACAAGCAGTGGCCTTGTTTTCACATCAAGCATTATAAATGAATGAAAGCAAACTTCTGATCAAAACCTGAGTGTGATGAGAACAAGGAATCAAAATGATTTCTCATTTTGTTGTTCCAAATAGTTTGACTTTGGTGTTCTTAATATTGGATTGGCCAAAAAGTTCATTCAGAAAACCCGAACGAACTTTTTGGCCAACCCAGTACTTTCCAAAATCATGTCTGTTTCTCTCAATTATTCTACAATTGGGGATACTGCATAATTAAAACTAGCTTACTGCAGCTATTGATATTTATTTCCCTTAAAAGACTGGTTTTTCTTGGCTCACCAGGAGGGGAGGGGGCTGTCAGGCAGCGCCTGGAGCTACAAGTTATCTTTGCAGCAAAGAGGAGGAGCCCTCTGTGGGCCGGGCACCCACCTGTTTAGACCTTGGCAGTAGCCAATGTCTGGATTCCGCCAGGAGAAGGCGAGCAGGACGTTGCGCAGTTTCTGTATGCCTTCCGAGGTGGGGCACGAGTAATGTTTGTTGTTGGGCAGAGTCCGCAGCAGGTCCAGCTCGATCTGCTTGGAGGCCGGGTTCTGTTTCTCCAGAGCCTTCTGAAGCAAGGTCTGGAAGTAACCAGGCTTAATGCTGTCCTTGAATTTCCTGGTGTGAAGGTCCACACACCACTTCCACACCTTGGAACGGTGCTCATGTGGAATGCCCGCACGGATCAGGTTCTTTAATTCTGGAGAGCACATCATCTCCCTGTTCACTGTGCTCGCAAAATAGTTTTCCCACTTGACGCCAGTGGAAACCTCCTGGTTTTCTGTGAGGTAGAGAGTCTTCAGGTCCAATGCTCGGACTTTGGCAACCAACTTCTCTTCCTCGTCATCCTCTGGGACAGTCCTAAACCCATAAATGTCATATTCACTGTTGAGAAAAACAAAAGGAAAAATTAAATGATGCAATCTGGCAAAAAGGCCAGTGAAACAGAAAAGAGAACCTAGAAATCTACCTGTGTGTAAATGGCACTTTGATATATGACCAGGCATTTCAACTCAGTGAGGAAATAATAAACTTCTCAATAAACAGGGTGAGAATAACTGGCTATTTATATGGGAAAAAATTATGTCAGATCTTTCCTTGATACTATACAGGAAAGTAATCAATTCTAGATGGCTGAGGTGCTAAATGTGAAAAGCACAAAAGGAAATACAAGCAATACTGCAAATACAAGGCCGATAAATTTGGCTACATTAATATACATGTGCATGTATGTTTATATAGCCTACATCTACACATCCATAACACTTGTGCTCGAAAAATGTTTTAAAAAGTGAAAAGACAAGGGAGAAAATATTTGTAAGACATTAGGGATGACAAAGAATTAAGAATTTTTTTTAATTCTTAAAAAGAAAAAGAATTATTCTGCTGTGGTAGGTAGAATAATGGCCCCCAAAAATGTCCCTGGAACCTGTGAATATGTCACGTTACGGCATGTGGAATTACAGTTACAGAACTTAAGATGGGGAGATTATCCTGGGTTAGCCGGGTGGGACCACAGTAAACACAGGGGCCCTTAAAGTGGAAGAGGAAGGCAGAAGAGTGGACCAGAGATGCGACAAAGGAAGAGGAGGCAGGAAGGATGTGAAGTGGGAGAGGGCCTGGACCCACGGTTGCTGACTTTGAAGATGGAAGAAGGCGGCCAGAAGCCAAGGAATGCAGGTGGCCTCCAGCAGCTGGGAATGGCCACACCTGACAGGCAGCAAGGAAACAGAGACCTAGTCCTACAGCCAGAAGGAACTGTATTCTGCCAACATCTTGAATAAGAAAGGACACAAACTGTTTCCTAGAACCTCCAGAAAGGAACGCAGCACTGCTAATACCCTGACTTTCATCCAGCGAGACCATGCTGGACTGCTTGACCGACAGAACTGTTGCATAATAAATATGTATCACAAACTTATTGGCTTAAAACAATAATTTGTTATGGCAGTCATAGAAAACCAATACAAAGGCCTTTCAAACACTGCTGCTGAGTGTGTAAACCTGTACAAGCACTTTGGAAATCAGATCTAGCAGAGCTGAAGATATGCATTCCCTATAGGTCAGGAATTCCACTTCTAGCCTACACCCTGGAGAAACTCTCTCAACGCAGACACACGGACACATGGATACATGTACCACGATGTTTACTGCACCACGGTTTGTAACAAGGAAAAATGGAACCATTCTAAGTGTTCACCATGAGAGAAGGAATAAAAATGTGAAGCTGTGAGGCAGGTAAAAATAAATTCTCAGGAGCTACATGTATCAACCTGTATAATTTCAGAAAACAATGTTGAAAGAAATAAGTTGCAAAAAGGTATGAATATGGTAGGATTAGCATATTAAAACGTGTCTTCAATTAGAGGTACATATTGAAGTGTTTAAAGCTGAAATGACATGTCTGACACTTGCTTTAAAATATTCCAGGAAAAAAAAAAAACTTTGGAAGGGAAGGGTACGAAGAAACAGGATTACCAAAATGTTAATAACTGCTAAATTATTGGGTAACAGATTGCACATGGGGGTTGTCATATGATTCCGTCTACTACTTTGTATGTTTGAAATTTTCCATAATGAAAAGTTCAAAGTAAATCAATATACACAGCTATTGTTCTAGTTATACATGAAGTTTGAAAAGATACAACATGAATAGTAAGAGCCCAAAACACAAGCAGGAAGAAGACGTGGTGCCCTCAGGGCAGACTGCTAGGCCACCCTCACAGGAGTCCCCCGCCACTGTGGACGCAGCACAAGCGCACAGCGTGGAGACAGCGCTCCTGGCCTGGGAATGGGGCTGCCCAGTCTGGGGCCACATCCTTGCCACTCACCATCTGTGTGACCTGGGCAAGTTACATCACCTCCCTAACCTCAGCTTCCGCATTTTCTGAGCAAGGATAAAAACATCTGCCTGGCTGAGTTGCGTTAAATACAAGCCTGCACATAAGGCCCTTGGCACGGCTCCTGGCACACAGGCCTCCGTAAGAGTTTTGTAACAATGGCGTTGGTCGCAATCTGACAGCATAGTTTTACCTGTCAACTGAGTAACATGAACAAGGCAGGCCAGTGCTGTAAGCGCAGAGAAGGGAAAGA